AAATATTTGTTTTTGGTTGTTTTGATAGTTTCAGATTTCAATACTTCTAGAGGAAGACCATCAGTATTAGCTAACACCATTCACACGCATGCACACACTGCTGACTGTGTATAAGTTGGCATTCAGTTTCATATCCAAAAGACACTTCCTCATGTGACTACAACACTGGGATTGTCTCTCGCTGATAAATGCTGTAGATCACCATAAATTAAGCTCAGGTTAAGGTAAATAAAGACATAAATAAGAAAGAAAACATCACATCAGGATGGATCGGTTCAGGGAATCACTTGAGCAAATGCGGGCCACACACCTGAGCGGATAGACAGGCACACAGGTATTTTGAAATGTGCAGACTGGTTGTGACGTGTCGTTGATATTCAGCCTGATAGCTGATTTGATTCCTGCTATGAAACTCTTTCCAACACTGGGTCAAGGTTGAGGTCTGGAAGTATTATTCTAACAGTCTGGAGAGGTTCAAACCATGACAGAAGAAGAATGTAGGTTTAAAAGACGTGTTAGCCACCGGTTAAAATCATCAGCCTGCACACCGTGATGTCTGATAATCAAAGAACTTTGCTACGATTACAAGTCATTAAATAATTTATTAGTATTTGCATTATTGTAAGCCTGAAATGCCAGTCATATGTTGAATTCAAGGACCAACTTTGGCTGTAGCTCTGGTTAATGGTGGCTGTCACAGCGCTCTACAACCCAGATGTAAACAAGTACAAGTTTGGGAATTTCCCCTTGTAGGACTAATAATCTTAAAGTATCTTATCTGACAGATGACAGATGAAATCCTGAGTCATGTTGTAGTTTGGCAGTATTTTTATCCAGAAAAGTGAGATAAATGTGTAGCTGTAGGAGCAAAAGATCAGACCATATAATGAGTTGCAGTTCACTTTACATATGTTTGTACTATTTTAATGTTATGCACCTAATATGTTTGTTTAAAATGCTTCAATGAAAATGCTATGCCTCAAAAACAACCTGATATAGTCCTCCATTCAAACACCAACAAAAAAACACTGATCACTACATACATCACTCAAGGCTAAACTGCTTTTTTTGGGAGATTTGATGTTTTATAGCAATGTGTGGGCAGCAGTGGCAGCCTATAGTGTGGCTGTGGATGACGCCACTTCAACATAATGCTGCAAGAATACATCATCCATATTACCCTAAAAATGCAGCTTTGGAGCAAAAATGTGCTCCAGAAGACTAAAATGTGGAACTTGAATACCCAGTGTAGGGCTGGACGATAGAACAATGACAATATCAAAAATTTCCCTCGATATCAATATAACCCATGGTCAATATCCTTTTCGATAGTCGTCATTCTGTCATGTTTTGGTAGACCATAGCACTTAAATACGTAGAGCCGACGGCACTGTCAGTGAGAAAATAAGAAAATGAGCGTTTCCCCCAGAAGAAATGCAGATGGCGGCTCAGCAGATGGCGACATCGTTGACAACACTAGCATGAAACCGTCGGTGGTTTGGAGGTATTTTGGTTGTTTGAGGTCAAACATGACGCAGAGTAATGTGCACTGTAAATTATGTCGAGGACATGTTCTGGCAAAGTTGGGGAATACCTAAAATCTATTTCACCACCTGAAGCAGCGCCACGCGGCAGAGCACGGGCAATGTAAAAGGTTACAAACCCTGAGCGGAGCGAGGAGCACATGGCGCCTGTGCAGCTGAAACAGCCAACCATTCAGTCCGCTTTCTCTAGCGCAACGCCTTACGACAAAACGTCAAAGAGAAACAAAGACCTCACAGATGCAGTAGCTTATTGTATTGCAAAAGACATGCTACCAATAAGCACTGTTAAATCGATATCGTTTGATATGAAAAAAATATCATGATAAACTTTTTCCCATATCGCCCAGCCCTAATCCAGTGCATAACTTTTCATGTAGTTTCTCAATATGGGTTCTGTCTTGACTATCTTGCATTAATTCAAATGAGGTCTGATAAGTCCAGGATCTTTTCATGGAGTCATGTCTGCAAGTGAAAGTAAAAATATCAGCAATGACTGGGGCGTGTGTATGAATGACTCTTATGCGTATTTAACGGTAAAACGTACAATTACAGACACATTTAACACTTAAACTCTCCTTTAGTGACATTAAAATGTTTGCACAGTTTGCATTCAGATCTTTTTCCCTGCAGAGAAACTTTAAGACAGCAGTCAGGACACTGAAGGAGACGAGCACGCTGCTTTGGATTTGCATTTTAAAGTCATGTCAACAAACTGAATCAGGAGAGTTACCCACGCTGAGTCGTGTCATTGCGGGTTAAAACAGTTACTTTCCACAGCAGGGCGAGTGGGAATCTCCTTACCTGTTCTTGGCGGTCACCTGTGGCGGAAGAAGCCATGTTGGAGGAGTGTGCAGACAGAGCAGCTGCTCCGGCTCTCAGGTAAACTCTGATCACAGGAGACTTCAGGAGAGGAAACTCCACAAATCCTCAAACCCACCGGGGAAAGAATCACGGTAAAAACGCTCAAAATGAGGCTGCATTTAGGTCAAGGTTTGCGTTTCTGATCCAGTGGAGGACTTTTGCCGTCCTGGGAAGAAAAGCAGCCCGGGGTGAGCGGTGAGAGGGTCGGTGTGTCCCGGTGGAAACTCCAGGTGGAGCGGAGCGGGATCCAGCTGCAGTCCGGGGCAACTGACTCTGATACCAACAGAGGAAAGACGACACTAGAGGGCAGTGTTGAGGTCAGCCATTAAAAAAACTGCTGAAAATGGAAACCACGTGAAAACCACTAGTAAATATAAGTTTTGTGGGCTACTTTAGTAGGGGAGACCGGGGATGGTTGTAACGCTTTGCGAATTTCTCTCAGTTAATTCAGATGCAGCCAAAGTTACATATACAGGCGCTGATACTCCCTCACAACCTCTTGTAGTTTCAAGTGAATATTAAATGGTATAAATAGTGAACTAAATCACTCCCTCTCATATCATTTTTGGCCATTTTTGTTTTTTTCTTCATTTCTAATGTTATTTATCCATCTGTTTTCATCAGATTGGTCCTCTGTCTCGACTGATTGGTGTCAAAAGTGTCCTCTTGGAAAATGTGTCCTGTCATTTATTGAGTTGTGATGGTGTGACAAATATAAAAGATAATATAAATATGGCCAAAAAAGGAAAACCAGATTTAAAGCTCCTGTGAGGAAATTTAAATTGTGTCAACTTGTTGCCCCCTGTGGGCAAAACAGTTTCATGCTTACCCTGTTTTCTACATTCCTTTCTTTATTCTTTATTCATACGGATTAGCTGCCCATTAGCTGCCAAAATCACAAAATAAAAATTCCCAATCATGTTGCTGATGGTCTTGTTTTCTTTTGGATATGATAAAAAAGACGTAATATGAATTTCTGTGATTTTGCTGAATGTCTAAAACTCAATTTTTCCAGTTCTGTGTGAGTTTCTGATGGGGATCAAACAATTAATACAGATTTTTATTGCTGAAAGAAAGTCTGCTTCTCTCATTAGAGTAGCAGCAAAAACTTCTTAAAAAACTTTATGATATATTAACTTTCTGCTCTGACAAATTAATCTAAATTTACATACTTGGTGTAACTTTAAAAAGCACTAGTTGCATGAAAGTTGGTACTATTAGTGTGAACTATCAGTGAGCCAGCATGGTGAGATAAACATTCAATAATCTACCACTGCTAAGAGTGCCATCACTAGCTGCAGTGTTTGTATTAGGACACATGAGGGCAGTGTTGGTAAATAAACAGCAGAGATCTCCTCATAGTGAACTTTATTCTCAGATTTGGAGCCTTGGTCATAACACACAAAGTAGATGATCATTTTTGGTCAGGGTTTCTCAGGAGCAGCACCACACGTGTTCATAACTCTCAGGACACATCTTCATTATAGTTTGACTAATAATACTTATTTTTGTAGTTATAATCTGTTTTCTTAATATAAATAAATAAGTTTGAAGTGACTCTCCCCTGATTAAAATTGATTATTTACTAATCCATGATTCAACTCCAGCCACTCTCTCAGGCACACCTGATACACCTGCACCATCTAGGGTGGTCCAGTTTCAGCTCCTGAACCAAACAGTGAAACTCACCAAGTTCTCTTCTTTATTGTAATATTGGATGCACTCATGTGCTACGTTTCTTTTTCTTTTGAGAAAGCAAATGGAGTACGAATTCACCATCACTTGAAATTGAAGTAGACTCCATTTTTGTCTTCTCGATTCCACCTGGGATGCTGTAGGATGGTAAGGGAAGGTCCTGCCCTCCTTCGCCTCTGATTGGCTATTAGTGTTGACTGTTTGGCTTGCGCATGTGATGACGTTTCCAGCTTTTATAGCCAATCAGAGGCAAAGGAGGCGGGACTTTCCCTGGGAAAAGTCTTCCCCGGGATGCGTGTTTTTCCCCCCGGAAAGTTGCAAAATCGCATCAGGCTTGATGTGTTTGGTCAGGCACGTCAAAATTCGCCTCTGAATATTTCATGATTTCGTGTTTTATAATTTCAGCCCCAGTGTGTAAGGTTCTTAAATGTCAAAAAAACCCTTACTGGAGCTTTATTACATTTCAAATTCATCTTTCGAACTGCTAAAAAGTTAAAGATTTTTTGAAGAACATTAGGTTTGCGTACTTTCAATCAGGGTCAACCATTAATTTTGTGTTTCTCATCCTCAGATCCATGACGAGGCTTTTGAAGACATCCTCTGTTCTCAGCTGGGACTCTGGCATCCTGCAAACACACAGACTGTACAAAGAATGATTCACTCAGGCTGCAGCCAGAGAGTCGATCCAGCTAAACCCCCAGACTGCTCTGAATTATTTGTTCTGCAGGAAGAGGACTTTAACAGAATCTGATTGTCTCAGGTGACTCAGGCCCCTAAAGTCAAAACACACAGCTGAACCCGAGTGCATGTCTGTTTAGTCACAGATGTCCGAGAAACGCTGCGAGAGGAGCGGAAAGAACATGATTGTGCAAGGAACAAAAAAAAAAAAAAAACAAGGTGCGACCAGGTTATTGTTTTTTTATTAGAGGTTTGCGTACAGTTTGTCGATCTGTGGCTGGAAAAGAGCTTTGAGCTCGGCCCTCTTGGCTTTCAGAGTCGGGGTTAACAAGCCGTTCTCGATGGTGAACTGCTCTGGGTGGAGGTACAAATCTTTCACCTCGGATAGAAACAAAAGGAAGTGAGAGGTTTAGATGGTTGGACATATCATAGCAGTGAATTAAAGTGAAACAGAAGATGTTACTTGGGATATTCCTCCGTATAAAAACTCATTTCCAACCACTAGAGGGAGAACTGAGACAGTTCAAGCGACATATGAGCGTCTGTGTATACAACCTACAAATGTATTACATTACAAATAAGTGTTGAGTCACTTTAATCCAAATTCTTTCCTGTCAGCATTTTTTTTCCTCCTGCAGCTGATTGCTATAAAAATCTGCCTCTGCTGCACAAATACAGAATGAAATCACAGGTGGTCTGTGTCTGGCCGCCAGAACACAAGAGCACAGACACGTGTGTGTGAAGATATTCTGGTGAAATTATGATCTGAGAATGAACACAAGAGCAGCCGTCTACAGAGATGTTTGAGAGGAATAATCTAGAATCCATATAATCCAGATTATGACTAGTCTAGGTGCATCTTTGACCCCAAACAAACCGTTACCTGTTCAAAGGACTTGAGTCCCGCCTCTTTGCCCAGTTTGGTCATATCTGAGAGAATGGCTTTCTTCAACTCCTGTAAAAACAAAACATAAGAGCGTTTCAACCTGCTTCTCATATTATATACGACTTTGTCCTGTGACCTGTCCAGCCGTTTATTTATGTGCACTCTGCTCCGTTATTGTGACCCCAAAATATCACACCAAAATGTACAACCTGTTTATTTTGAGGGGGAAAAAAAAAAAGGTCTCTCTACGAGCAGGTGTGACTATAAATAAAACAGAAACATTACTGTGTTTTTGCAGAGTTCTTCAATGGAGCCATGGCATCCCAGAGTTTCTGCAAAACCCGGCAGGACTTCAGGATCAGGGACCACAATAGCGACCAAGCAGGACTACAGACACACAAAGAAAGGGTTTTATTTTTAGTGTAATTGGATCAGAGAGTCTGTATCCAGATTTTAAAACCGCCAGTTTGTAGGCGACAGTAGCTCAGGAGTTGGAGCAGTCCATCAATAACTGGAAGGTTGGCGGTTCAATACCCCCCTATCCTGAGTCTGTCTGTTGTGTCCTTGGACAAGACACTTAACCCACCTTGCTCCTAGTGTGTGTCCTCCACTGGTGTATGATTGTGAGTGTTGTGTGGTGGTTATCGAAGAGGCCGTAGGCGCAAACTGGCAGCCATGTTCCCTTCAGTCTGCCCCAGGGCAGCTGTGACTACTAAGGTAATTTACCACCACCAGGGTGTGACTGTGTGAGTGAATGAATGATGTATCCAATGTATTATTATTATGAAATCTATTATTATTATTATTATTATTATTAGTTTTACCTGCAGACTGTCTCCGTGCACGAAAACTTGGGCCACAGGTCCGGAGCGCACGTAAACGTTCTCGATCTTCTCTGGAGCGATGTACTCGCCCTGAGCCAGCTTGAAGATGTTCTTCTTGCGGTCAATAATCTTCAGGACTCCACTCTGTTCACAAAACAACCACAGAGCAGACAAATAATCAGATCTGGACGAATGTTTTATGTTCTTTTTATTGAATAAATCAAATTTAGGTGGAGGAAAAACAAACTGCAGGACTGAATATAAGGAATAATAACGCTGAGTTTGCTCCTCCTTAGATAACTCCATCTAGTCACAGATATGATCGAAATTTTAACTAAATGACCAAAAGACAGAAACATTTGCAGTCAAGAAATCAAAGTATTTGTAGAATAAGACTGAATTCAATTTCCAGTGTGGCCTGAGGGCTCCACCCACAACACTTTTCATCTGCTGTGGAGGAGCTCGTGGTTAAACACCTTAAACCAATCACCAGGCTGATTTTTATGTGGTGGAGCGAATATTAAAGTGACATTTTTCCTCTTATCTGATTCTTACTGGAAGCCATTTTCCGATGTCTCCCGTGTGGAGCCAGCCGTCCTCGTCCAGAGCCTCTGCGGTCTTCTCCGGGTCTTTTAAGTAGCCCTTAAACACATTCCTACCTTTGATGCAAACCTGGAGAACATCACAGAGACACAAACCAGAACGAAGCAAGATGAGCGCCGAAGATCTGCTTAAGATTGGACGTTCCTGTTCGGCTTCCATCATCTTACCTCTCCCTCTCCGTTTGAGGCAAAGTAGTTCATTTCTTCAACATCCACCAGCTTCACCACGTTACAGGGCAGCGGCACGCCAACATGGCCTAAACATAGGGTAAACATATGACATAAACATACATTAAATTGTTTCTATCTGGACATTTATGCGTGAAAGTCAAAAACAGTGTACGAGAAATATGTGGCAGAAGCTGAGCGCCTACCTGAGGTGGCGTCTCCTGGCACGGTGAAGGTGCAGCCGGCCGTGCACTCAGTCTGACCGTACGCCTCAAAGATCTGAGAGTGACATGCGACAGAAAAAAAACAACAAATCCTTTTATTTTAAACGTTTCTTTGCAGAGATTGACCCTGAAAACCTGGATTTGTGAACATCTAGAGAGACCAAAAACCAGGGTAAATGTCTGAGTTACCTGGCAGCCCAGAGCCGCCCTGAGGAAGTTCAGAACAGACGGAGAGATTGGTGCTGCCCCCGTCACCATGATCCTCACTCGACCTCCAAATGACTCCTACATGTAAAAGATGACTCTGTTTACACTCTGGTTATGTCTCCTTTTTACACCGTTTTAATTCACCTGCAGCAGTACCTGAACTTTGTTGAAGATGAGTTTATCCCAGAGGCTGTTTTTGCGGACGATCCCGTCTCTCACTTCAGCGTACTTCCTTTCTATTGCAAAGTTCAGCAGCCACTTCTTAAAAGGAGTTTTGGCTCCGCTCTGAACCTGGTGGTAGGATTTGTGTTTTTTATATAAGTGTGTTTGAGAGAAGAAACTGGAAATGTTGGGCTGATGTACAAAACAGAGCTAAAGGAAAGAGGGGGCAGGTATGTCTGACTTGAATGTCTTACTTTGTCATAGACACGGTTGAGAAGTCGGGGGACCACTGGGAAAATGGTGGGCTGAAGAGTTTTCATGTCGTCTGGCAGCAGCCTGATGTCACCCTGGAAGAATCCCACCCTCGCTCCGACTCCGTACACCACCGTCTTACGAGACAGAGAACATAAAACTTCACTTTTTCGACTCTGGCTTCTGGAAATCAGAGTTTTAGTCCAGACCTCACCTGTACAACTCTCTCAAACATGTGAGCTAAAGGCAGGAATGAAATGCTGACGTCCTCAGTGCTGGGGATGATTGACGACTGTGGGACAAACAAAGGCCTCAGTTAGCAGAACTTTAATGATGTATGAATGATGAAAATAAGATTTGAGGTTACTCATTCGCACCTCAAAACCTTTGATGACACCTGCAGCATCTGAGACCACATTCTCATGGGTCAGCATCGCTCCTTTGGGGTTACCTGGGAGGAAAAAAAAATACTACTTGGGGAAAAAAAGTCTGACTTTTCCCTTCCTACCCACTCACAGATTTCAGGCATTAAAGATCCCGATATGAAATATCAGAAGATCACCTGTAGTGCCGCTAGTGAAGCAAACGATGCTGAGGTCTTCAGGCTTTGGTGGCTGTTGAGACATAAAATCAATATCAGCCTACAGCTTTTTTTATCTGTCCAACATTCAAAATAATTGCTTTAAAAAAATGACTTACAACTGGGTCATGAAGATTACTTTTCCCCAGAGCCTGAAGGAAGAAAAGAAAACACAATTAAATCATGTTTGTCATTTTTTTTTCACAGTTTACTTCAAAAGGTCAGGACTTAAACCAAACTGTTGTGATTCATTTTACTTTATCATACCTCCACATCCTCCATGGACACGATGTCCACCCCACACTTGGTCCCTCTCTCCACCAGCTCAGAGTTGAAAGAGTCCATGATGACGATGGTTTTGAGAACAGTAGTCTCGTCTTTCTCTCGGGTCTGCAGCAGAGTCTCTGCTTTGCTCTGGTTGTCACAAAGAACCGTGGAGATCTCCGCTGAAAAGAGGAACAAACAACAGGTTGACATAATGTAATAATGCTGTATAAATCAAGACTGATCGGCTTCAGAATGAGCAGTTTCAACAAAAGAAGATTAGGGCCACATGAAGAGAAAAAATAATTACAGGACAGAGATTAAAGTCGAAATTCTTAGATCAAAAAAATCGAAATTATATCATTAAAGTCAAGATTTCAACATTAAAAATTGAAACCTCGAGACTGAAGTCAAAATGTTGAGATTACAAAATGTCGTATATAATGTCAAAATCTCAAGATCAAATCATTTAAATTTTGTCGATAGTCAAAATTTTTAGATTAAGATGTTTAAATGTCGTGAATAATGTCAAAATTTTGATTTAAAAAAAATCAAAATTATGTCAATAAAGTTGAAATTTCAACATTAAAAATTGAAATCTCGAGACTAAAGTCTAAATATTGAGATTACATCATGTGGAAAAGTTGTGGATAATGTCAAAATTTCAAGATAAAAAAAAAACAAAACGAAAATACGTCGATAAAGCCAAAATTTTAGAATTAAATATTGAAATCTCAAGACTAAAGTCCAAATTTTGAGATTACAAAATGTCGAAATGTCGTGAAATATGTTGAAATTTCAAGATTAAAAATAAAGTCGACATTTTATTATTTAAAAACTGAAATCTTGAGATTGAAGTTGAAATTTTGAGATTACAAAATGACAAAATGTTGTGAATAATGTCAAATTTCAAGATAAAAGTTAAAATTTTGTCAAGTTTGAAAATTTTGAGATCAAAGTCGACATAAATAGTCAAAATGTCATCCTTTAAAATTTTGACTTTTATCTTGAAATGGAAATTTAAAAAAAATCTCTCTCCTGTCATAATTTTTTTTCTCTTCTTGTGGCCCTAATCCTTTTTCATAAATGTCACTGTATGAAGTGTTTTTTTATGTTGACAGAGTTGAATTTCACAGAGAAGAGTTTATTAAGATGAAAACCGCGGCAGTAATGAGAGCAGCTGACCGACTGTATCATTCACGCTCTTTGTTTAATGAATTATCCAGAGGAAATACGACAAACAGAAATCTGACTTCAACTATGAGCTGTTCAATTAGCTGGAGGAGATTAGAGCAGACTCCACACAGATCCCTGCAGGGACCGCCGAGTTACTGGACTCAGACTCAGCTTTGTCATTAGCAGCATTAGAGCGCCAGAGAAGCTCCAATTACCTTGGTTTATAATGAACACCAGAGCCTCCGGACCCAGGGTGTCGTACAGGGGGACCGCTACCATGGAGTAGGTGTAACATGCCAGTTCACCGATAATCCACTGAAATTACACAACAATTAAGAACACGCTTGAACCCAAAGACTTCACCCGCCCACAAACAAACCGAATGTCCTCACTCACCTCAGGTCTGTTCTGGGCGAAGATGCCGATGAAAGTGTCCGTGTTGGGCTTCAGACCTTTGTGGAGCAGCCCTGAGCCCAGGTGCTCGGCTCTATCAGACACCTTCACAGGGAGGAAGAGGAGGAAAGGTGAGCTGGAGTTTACGGCGGGTTTTTCTGAGGATTCAAGGTGCTGCATGTTGTTTTACCTGCTTGTATTTGAGCCACTGGTACGGCCTCCCTGGCTTCCTGTAACCCAAACACGGTCCATTACCTGTAAGTGAGAAAGGCTCCAAGTTGATAAAAGTACACTATGTAAAAAAATAAACTAAGAAGGACATTTATATCTCATAACTAGTTTGAAACTCACCTGACACTTTCAGACCCCTCTGAAAAACTTCATACAGAGTCTTGCCGTTGTCATAGTAACATGATAACAGGTTGTTGTTGTCCTCAAGCAGTGCTGTCTTTCTTGCACCACCCTAAGGAAAGCAAGAACAAAAATCAAGAGCAAGAATAATAATGACTTGGAGGATTTTCTTTGTAATATTTCTGCAACCTGCAGAAATCTACTCTGAGAGGAGCGAAGCTGGGACTTTTTTATTCCAAGTATAAATTTGAGTTGAATCAAACTCTTTGCACTCTTACTTTGATGCCCAGTGATTGGCATTTAAGGTCCAAGGGGATCCGAACAGGACTGGGCCGTGTGTTGAGGTAAAACAGGGTTGCAGCAAAGACAGCTAACAGAGAGATGATGGCCGAGGTCGGGAGAGGAGAGAACAGCAGCTGGATGAGGAAGTCCATGGTGCAGCGTCTGCAGAGACAAAGCCAAAAACTGTTCACTTTGAGATGTAGCGCTTCAGCATTATCAATACTGTATATAGAAACAGTTTCATGCAATACTCAAGTCCTTAACACAGCTCCGGGTGTTTTCTTTGTCATGACTTGAGGTCAAAGTCAGCATGTATTGTGCAAGAGTTATTTCCTATCAACTAAACATGGAGTCAAACTCATGGACACTTAAAACAACAACATACACTGATTTGAGGTTAGCAGCACTACGTTTTTGACCCATAAAGGAAAAGCTGATGGATTTATAAAAACTTTCTCAATTTTCATAAAGCGTTAAACTCGTTATCTTGATGTTTTACAATTTTGAACCCCACTGAAGTCAGTTTTCTTACGATCCTTGTTCGGACCAGCATAAGCAGTGACTATTCTTCCTGAGTCCGCCTCTTCCTGCTGTTCAACTTCCGTGCAACATTTACCTCCTGGATCCAAAATAAAAAAGGGCAAGAGTTCACTAGAAGGTCATTCCTTTCTCCTGCCAACTGAGGAAAGGTCACCCATGCCTGTATTTCCTCTAGACTTGACTATATAGATGCATTTAATGAGTGTCAGCAAGCGAAACATCCAACAGTTACAGTTTCTTTACAACGCTTTCAAAATAGCAAATAAATCGATCCTAACACCAGTCCTGACCATGACTGGCTGACTGTGAGTTATAGAAGTGCTTTTAAGATTTTACTCAAGAGTATTTTTATGAGCAATGAGTTTGAGGTCTTCTCTCAGGGCTCTACCTGTGGTTAGTAAATCTTGACCGGTCTCAAGAGGTGACTGAACTCTGCAAGCCAAGCCCAGAGTCCTGTTTTAAATCTCCCCTTGAAGCTCATTGTGAAATCATCTGGCTATTTCTTTTTTTTACTGTTGGCTTTGCCGTCTCTTTTCACCTTATATTTCTGCAGTAACATCCGTTTTATTTGTATCATTAATGACTTAATTACTCTATTTTGATAGCCTTTTTTGTGTGTAAAGCACGCTGTAACTTGCTCAAATAAATAAAGTTTTTATCATTAAAAAGTAACACAAAACAGACCAAAGCTGTGTCACTGTGTCGTCCTACCTGCTGTTGGTCCTCTCAGGTGTTCTCCTCTGCTCTCAGGTGGGCAGGAGTGTGTGAGGTGTGAGGTGTGTGTGTGTGTGTTCACAGCAGATCCTCTTCCTCTGCTCTGCAGGGCGACACAGGAAGAAGAACTCATAAAAATCAGCCGACAGAGGTGAAGGAAACCTTTGCACCTTGAACATCAACACAAACACTGATAAAGAGACTTGAGTTCAGATATGGAAACATATTTTTGACAGCAATGAGGATTAAAAATCCTGAACAAAAGCATCGCTTACACACAGTATGCTGCGCTGTACTAGATGATAAAGGTTGAGCTAAATGCACATCTAATTTTAGGTTCTCTTTTGTGATGCTTCAATAATGAGATTTTAAAATGTTAAAGAACTTCAAGAACAATGTATCTGCAAAAAATAAATAAAAATCTGATAAACACAAAAATAATTAAAAGCATTTAATTAAAATTGATTGAAGATCCCGCTCTAGAATATTTTGAGAAACATTCACAGTCTCTCCAGAGAAACTGCACCTGCATTTTCTCTGCAAGGCGATTTTTAGTCTTACTCCAGATAGATGAACTTTACCGATAAGCAGATGTCAGAAAAAGGCCAAGATGCTGCGGCTGATGAAAGGTCAACCCTCTTATCTGCTTTTTATCGTGCTCAAAGTCCTCAGAGTATAACACAGAAAATGAACGCAGTGACAACATATTTTAATCCTCTTTAAAAAAGGACAAAAGTGCAGCGGTAAGCAGAATCGCATCAGACTTAAATCTGTGAAACTGACCCCAGATCTGTTATGATTTAGAACAGCTGAACCACAACATAGGACATTTGTAGGCTGAGTGTAAACACTGTGGTTAAGGAAAATCGTTTTAAAGCAAACCCTCATGTCGACAGATTTAAAACAACAAAATACAACACAGTCCATCTCTTTACCATCAGCAACCACTCAGTTTTCAATAAAAATGTGAATGAAAACAATCAGCTGTCTGATGATGGCTGCAGATACTGAGAGTTTACAAACTTTCTGAGAGTAGAAATTATGTTTGGGCTGTACTGGTTTGCATTAAAGTACCCAGGTGATGATGATGTTATATTCGTCTGGTTGGTGTGCATCAAAATCCAGGAGAGAAGTTGGGTTGTTGAGTTCCTACTGATGTCAGGGTCCTGTATCTTAATTGAATAAATGCCATTTTGAGACAAAGATTGGTATTTGGTATAATACTGTTGGCAAAAAAAAGTCACAAGGCAAATGTAAGGGTTAAGTTAACTTTCCAGCGCTTAAAACCAACAACTTAGAAGTAAGAAATGGACTCTCTCTGTGGGGCACTTACTTCTAAAGCTAAAATGCATGTTTAGAATTAAGACTAGAGCTCTCAAAACTCAACACAATGTGAGAAAAACCATCCAATTATGATCCAAAAGGGACTGAAAAACCACTACACCTTTCTGTCCAAATTAACAAAACACAGTTTTACTTCCTGATGCAAGTTCAAACAATCCAACAACCAAAGCAGGATTTCACGAACCCATTTTTGGCCCACCTTTTTCTCAATATTAGCAATTTATCTCCAAATAACAACAGGATTTTGCATTTTGTCCAAACAGTGTCATTGTTCGCTCTCATTTTTGGCAGCAAACAGAAGCTACACCAACATTTGATCTTGAATCAAAATGTCTTTATGGAGATAGACTTAACTAGAGCACAAAACAAACATCTGCTAACATTAGCCACCTTAAGCTACTGGTTGTGACCTACAAAGTTAAGCTAAGTAAGTCTATTGCCTTTATCTTTGGCACACAGTCCTGTTTTCACTCCATTGTCAAACTAAAACTTTAACACAGACTAAGCTACAGTACAGGTCTGGTACATGACAAACATATGCTAACATTAGCCACCTTAAGCTACTGGTTGTAACAGACAAAGTTAAGCTAAGTAAGTCTGTTGCCTTTATCTTTGGCACACAGTCCTGTTTCTCACTCCATTGTCAAGCTAAAACTTCTAGCTTAGCTTAGCTCAGAGGCTAAAGAGCTCATGTAGCTAGCAACAGACTTGAAACTTTTCCAAAGTTGTTAGCTTAAACACTAAATACACGCTAAAGTGAAGAAGATATTGGTTCATCAAAACTTTTCCTGATTTCATGTATTCACTTTGCAAAACACAACAACAACTTGTCGCCTGTTTTTCTCCCTGTGTGAGTGGTTTGACTCTGGACAGTGATCTGCAGGTAAAGGTTCATTAGGAGAAGCTTTGAAAGGTTACCTGGTGGGATTAGCAGAGGTAGTTTGGGGCCAGGCTGAGCATGGATTCCCCAGGGGACAAAAAGAAGAGCTGAAGCCAGCAACAGCACTAATGTACAATCTGCCCGCATGTGGTCATTAGCACCTTAAAGTGCACACAGGTGTGACAGCTTCTCTGCAGCCAGCGAGGCTCAACCTGCCTCAGGAGCTCAGTGTGGCCCTGCAGCAGCAGATTCAACCCTCAGGAGATCTGCACCACACTTATCACTTTGGGTTTTTTCCTTCTCCACTGACCATGTGTTTATTTCTCTTAATTAAATAAGACCACTTTCTTCAAATAAAACCTGGATTTTCCACTCCCTCAGTCTGTTTGTAAGCAGTTCCTGTTGGAGATGCAGGAGATTACGATGAACTTTGACCCTGGATTTATGAATGTGAAGCGATAACTCAGCAAACTGGATGTGTAACCTTTGGAGTTCACTGATCTATGATTGATAAAAAGCTAATCAGAGACTTACTCACCTAAATCTCTTTTATTGACCCCTGATTAAAAGAAACACACATTCCTTTATCAGACATTAGACGACTTTACCTGCTCTCCAGTGCTCCACTTTAGGAACCACAGCCCTTAGGAGACCATTTATGACTCAAAAATGACAAGTTACAATTAAATATAATATTAAAATCTAAAAATAAGCTTCTATGTGAGAAGACTGAATAAATAATTCCAATTAAAGAGGAACTGTTCCTATATTTTAAATGTTTTTGGAATGTCTAAAGGCCTGGGTGATGATTTCTTGCATCCACCAAAGCTTCAGAAGCAAGTAGATAAGAGAAAGTTTGACCTTTTCCTCAAATACAAATCTTAATTTTACGTAGTTTTCTCTAAATTTGGGGTGTGACCCTAAAGAGGAGGCTCAGAATTTTGTCCTGCACTGCTTAGCCAACACTGTAAAGGTCTACCAGGTCCAGGAGTGATACAGGGAAAGTTTTGAAGTTGCTCAATTATTTAGATTTCCAATGATATTTTCTGGGAGGATAAAAATAATAATATATATTTTTTGTTTTGAATTTCCAAACATTTATAAATTGCTTTTCCTACACCAACACCAGGCTCATTTTAAAATATAGAAAAAGTTTGTTTTGATTCAGGCCCATTGAAATATTATCGACGGAGAAAAGGGACGTTTTCTTTCACTAAATTAATTGACTCAGTCTCTCCTTTAAAAATCTTCAGTGCATCAATAGAAATGAAATCTATGAAACAAAGACAAAAATAACAAAAAAACGAATTCATCATCTGGCCTTCTTTGAGCTAATTATCATTTATTTAAATAGAAAAATAGAAATGGTGGTTGCCCTTGACGAAGCGCAGTATGGCTGCTTCTCAAAGAGAGAAGCCTGATGACGGATGACCTCAAAAAATCATAAACAATATGAAGAGACAAACCGATGCCCTTTTGTACCTCCTACTTCCTTCCTAAATTTACATTTTCTCCACCCTGACTGAGCATGCATCACAAGGGATGTTGGCTATTTAAGCCCTTGGTAACATGAAGCAACTGAGAGGATAAGAGTGATGGTGAGGGTGGTGTATTCTCCCAGCATGGGGCCCACACTGGTGCTTCTCTTCACGTTCATATCAACAGCTGCTGCAGTCACCAATAACAGCGTGAACGGGTCTCAACATCACAGGCTGGTCATTGGTTTCCAGGCTCCATGGAACGTGTCCTTTCCATTCAGCGCCCTGCGGCTCGGCTCGGCCATACAGATAGCCGTGGAGAAGGTGAACACCAATCCTTCCTTCCTGGGGAACTACAGTCTGGATTTCGTTTACACTGACACAGACTGTAATCCCAAAACTTCCCTGGGAGGGTTTATTCACCAGGTGTGGAAAGAAAACGTGTCAGCGCTGATTGGTCCGGCTTGTCCTGAGGAAGCAGAGGTATGATTTATGAGATGTAACTTGTTTTACAATGAAAGGAGTTCCACAGGTGTCTGTATTTAGCCCACATCTCTTTATATAATGTATTAACATTTGAGGCAGATGGCAATTCACCTTGACTCCAGTTCTGGACAAGGTTTCTGCCTGTTAAAGCAAAGTTTTTCACAACCACATTTAACATGTTGGACTCATGTTAGGTTTCTATACAACAAATAGCTTAGTCTAGACCTGCTCTTTTTGTAGCGTTTGGGGTAACATTTCTGAAGATCTAAAAAATGAGAAAGTGCAGAAAAATCCAGTCTTTTGGGTACTGGTTTGATTTAAAGACTCCAAAATTCAAGACTTGGCAAATTGGTTTCAAGCAGTAGGTACAGCTCCACAGTTGCACGGAATCTGCACGTTGTGGAATTCGTTGAAATCAATTAAAGTCAAAAAGCAGAAAAACAGTTTGAGTCTTTTTCCATCTGTGACTTATCTACCAGTGAGACCTATACTCTGGATTTTATGGTAAATGTACAGTCACCAACATTATCCTTTTTTTCTTTAAAGATAATTTTTGGGAGCTGCTAAACCAATTTTGATTGGAAGATATTGGTAATTTTGCACAGGAACGAGAGGAAGTTGACATAACAAATACCGCCAAGATCAGGAATCAATCCTAGAACAGTGTGAGAAGGACTGAGGCCTTTGTACATGGGGTGCCAGTCCTACCAGCTGAGCCAATCTCAGCCAGTGATATTTGTCTGATTAAATGGTGTGTTTTCTTTTTGTTCACTCTCATAATACCATGAAATTTTTACATTCCAGGTCACAGGTCTCATTGCGTCCACCTGGAACATCCCCATGTTCGGCTTTGTGGGACAATCCTCCAAAATGGACAACAGCAAAATCTACGACTCCTACATCAAAGTGGTTCCACCTCTGAAAAGAAGCGCTGAAGTCCTGATCAAAACCTTGGAGTTCTTCGGCTGGAGTCACATAGCGATGATCGGAGGGGGTTTGGATTCAAACACTTGGGACAAAATTGACGCTCTGTGGAAAACAATTGAGACTCCACTGAGAGAAAGATTCAATTTAGCAGCCGCGGTCAAGTTCGATGCTAGCAATCCTAAGCTTGTTTATCAAAATGTCAGGTACATCTCAACAGTTGCCAGAGGTAAGGAAAGACCAAGCACCATGTGGACAACTCCAACTTTTTAGAATCATCTTTTCATATGTTACTTTGCTTCTTTTTTTCTGTATTTGCTAAACGTTTCCTGTCATGCTTCAGTCATTGTGGTGCTAACAAACAGGGAAGACTCCACAACTCTGTTGCTGGAGGCAGAGCGGCAGGGCCTAATGAACGGCGACTATGTTTTCTTCTTGGTTCAACATTTTGAGGTCAGTGGCCCAGTGGTGAGTAAAAACTTGAATTAACAGTCACAGACATGTTTGGAGGAGTTGACGCTTTGAACACTTGATTAGAAACAAATTCTGGATGGTTCAAAAACGCTGGAAAAGAAATCCCACAGGAAGAATGGATCAAAAAGAAAAAGAAAGATAGAGCCTTCCTAAATCAACTCTACCAGTTTGTGCTTGCAAGGCTTCACTGTCAAGTAGACTTAAACAAAAAATCTTATACACAGGTCCGATGTCATGAAATAAGCTTTGGGGGAAACAGAAAAGATTTTGTAAATCCGGTTACAGCCAGCACATTCAATGTTGCAAAAGCAGGGCAGCTTGGTTAGATAACTGCACCAAAATGACTTGCAAATACTTCAACTGTCTACTTGAGGCCAGCTGCAGAACCCTATGTTGAAATCCCCATTGTTAAATCAAAATTAAACATCCTCTGCTGGCCTAACAGCAAAATAATATCACTTCAACAAGTGGAAATGAGGACATAACAGCCCCACCTTGAGGCTGAGTGAAAGGTTTATAGATGCCACACAGAGGCTGACAAACACAGGCTCGCAGCAGTTGATAGTATCAGCTGTTGTTGGCAGATTTCATCAGCTGGAGCCAGCCAGCTAATAAAGCTAACGTTAACCCCATGAGTTTGTTGACAACATCATCACCAGCTGGCTTGTTAAATAAAAGGAATGTTTAACTTGCACCTGATGGCAAAATAATGGGCTGAGTTTCATCCCAGTGTCCTCATCAGCCATTAAACCGTGCAACTCTAAAAATGAAAACAGAGCATGTAGATTAAAATGGCTGTAGATTAATAAAACAGATTGTGACAAATTCGTCAGAAAGTTAGATCTCCTATAAAAACATGTTCTCCCTCAGCTCATAACTAAATCATTATTTATGTGTTTCTTCTCCTGAGCAGGATAACTCGTGGAAATATGCCCTCAACAACCGAATTAACCAAGCAGCTATTAGAGCTTTCGACATGGCCTTCATCATTGGCCAGAAATCCTACGAAGGGTACGAGTATTATGACTTCTATGAGCGAGTCTTTGAGAAACTAAAAGAACCCCCATTTCAGAGCAACCTGACATCCGACAAAGAGGTAAGCTGCCATGATAGGAAGGTAAATCAGACTGAAGACAGTATCTCTAAGGTGTTGGAGAACTTTAAAGAACCTTTTGTTTTTTTTCAGGTTAGCCCTTACTCGGCCTATCTGCACGATGCTGTGCTGCTCTACGCAATGGGGTTGAAAGAGGTTCTGAAAGATGGCCACGACCCTCATGATGGACAGCAGCTGTTACGAAGATTAAAGAACAAAAACAGCATTCGGTTTTATGGTCAGTAGCAGTTTTGACGAATTTGTAGAGTGCTTAAAAAAAATACACAAAGACAACAAAAAATATAAAACATGAGTTACATGATGAAGTCAACCTCATCTTAGATATCCAAGGTAGGGTGACCAGACGTCCCCGATTTGCTAGCTTATTCAACTCATACTGGGCTGAGATAACAGACAGTGAATGGTATTTACCTTGTGGAAATATTCCTGCTAGTTTGAGTTTTTGAGCAAAAGGAAAAAGGAAGTCATAATGGTGAAATGTAAGCTGTCCTCATACTTTAAACCAGTAGAAACAATTCAATGCTTTCTTACCCTTGATCACACATTTCCATCTTTGCAGGTGCCTCTGGACTAGTCCATTTTGACGAGGAGGGGGAGAGAAATTTGGACTATTCCATTTATGACTTGCAGCACTTAGGCGATGCCACCAAGTTTGTGCCCATCCTTCATTTTGACAGTCACACGAAGACTATTCGGTAAGAAACGCTTTGCATTGTGGGAAAACCTTAGTGTTTTGATTCTTTTATAATATCATACAAAACGTCTCATTTCAGAGCAACGCCTAATTATCCATCTATAATCTGGCCAAAGGGGAGACCTCCATCAGACAAACCAGAATGTGGTTTCAACAACGAACTCTGTGAATGGTTAACTAATGGTAAAGTACCAACCTGGCAAAATAACCAACCAACAAAAACACCAGTTTCTTTTCTATACGCTGACCTTCATGACCAGTCTTAAAATCTAAGACTCTTCAATTCAGATGTCATCCTGTTGGCTCTTCTCGTGGCGTTCCCCGTCATTGGCGTGCTGGCAGTTCTGTGCATCGGCGTCCTCATCCTGCAGAAGTTCCGCCTGCAGACCAGGCTTGATGATTCCTACTGGTGGCTGATCAACTACAACGACATCACCATCATCAAGGAGCCAATCGTATGGGCGCTTAAATATCTTGGTACAAAATTGAATATACATCAGTATGCTTGGCTGGTATATGTTTAAACTCTTGTTTGGTGCTTCTTTCGCCTCGTGCAGGGAGGTCAAGGTTTGTCTCTCGCCACCACAGCCAGTCAGAGTATGAGCAGCAGCTCCCAGTCCACTTTCTCCTACAGCAGCTTCGGCCTGATGGACAAGACAGGGAAGGAACACGTCTACACCACCATCGGTCTCTACCAAGTATGAGGCTTTTTTTTTTCACATTTGAAACTTTTTAACTGATGCTAATTACAGGGAGTCTTGGCAGTGTTGACAGCATCATAAATTGGCTTGACAGCAAAAACACTGGTGATTTATAATAAGTGGGAGCACAGATGCACATCTTTGCATGTGTGTAACATGCAAAAGAAAACAGGTTGTGAACTCTTGCCCATCTTACTCTTTCACGAAGGTGTCTTATACTGAAAGTACTAGTACTGACTTAGGACTATAGACCTGGCTTTTTTGGTCTTCAAGATAGAAACACGCCACCTGAACACAACTCTTTTTTTAGACAACACACCTTTTGATAAAACAGGTGATATTTGTAAATATAAAAAAATTAGGAGAACTGCACAGCATGCACAGTACGTTGTGCTTGGTGTACAAAAGGAGCCCTCTGTGAATAGCTTAGCACTATAACCTTTTTTTGTCTGAATTCTTTTGTTTACAGCCACTGGACAAGGCAGGAACTAAGCAAGTATGTGTTCAACTGTCAAATTGCTTGATTTCATCACATAAACTTTTTGATTCTTAAGAGTAAGAGTGTGTAATTTCAGATATTACCTCATCATTTGTTGTACAATAATTTTTTATACCGGGGGGCCCCACACTTTTGGGACCCCCAAAATAACATTGCCAGAGACTCACAACCCACACTGTTACTTAAGGTGGTTCAATGTTGCTCAAAGCATCAGGTAAGGGCCAAAAGGTCAATTCGGATAGAGAGACCACAAGCAAACCTTATGTTTAGACAGTAGCAGTGATAGACAGACACACACACACAGGCTTACCTGTGCATCTCCTAAGACTTTGATTTGCATGGGTATACATGAATTTTAACCACTTTTATTATAGTCATGATTAATGTATGCAATCTTAAATATTTATTCAAAAACTTCTAATTTTGTTTGAAAGGTATCTTGCAACCTCCCAGTGAAGAGATCTGCACCCTTGCTGCCACATATCTGCGTCCTCATTGATGTATATCTTTTATGTCTTACAGGGAAATCAAGTGGCCATCAATTACATAAAGAACCCTGTTTGCACTAATATCCAGAAACCCTCAATCATCAAAGAATTCGACTTGGTAAAGTTCAGCTTTCATTCGTTGCTTGGTTCATCTAGGCTCTGTTCCTTTATATTTAAAATTGGCTGTTTGGTTGTTTGCCTAAGAATCTCAATCTTTTCAAGACAGATGAAAGAGATGAAACATGAGAACCTCGTTCAGTTTTTTGGTGTTTGTATTGAGCCACCAAATGTCTGTATCGTCACCCAGTACTGCAGGAAGGGCAGCCTCAAGGTCAGTGTTTCTCTCTGCTCTGCAAGCTGTAAAAAACTAACTTTTTATTTCCTGTTTATCCGGACAAAGGTGGATGAAGTTGCTTTTTTTAAACTTTCTGATATACCACAACGTACTGTATATTTTGCAGTTTCTTGTGTTTTGTTCATCTAACAGTAAAAATGTTGTAGTTTTAAGACAGAAGCTGGACTTCAAGCATGGAACACTTGCTCAAAACAATCAATTTTGTTATATTTTAGAGTGTCTACATACAGGGTTAAATAATTCCATCTTAAATAGTGTGCACTCTTAAATGTTGAATTTTCTCTGCAGGATCTACTGAAGGCCTCAGATGTGGAACTAGACTCCATGTTTAAGCTCTCCTTTGCGTACGACATCGTCAATGTGAGTAAATTCGTTTTTGCTGCATGTCCAATTCCTAAAACGGCCTAACATTAAAAAATGTTATACTCATGCACAGCCAAGATAAGATTTTACAACACAATACAGTATTTAAAAGGTCCAAAGAATAAATCAACCAATATACGAATCCCCTACTTCATTTGCTCATCCGATAAACCATACCTTTGGCTCAGTCCTTTTAATTGATGCTTTAGGTGAAGGTGCAAAACTAGTGTTACATTTGAACAAAACAATGGCTCATTTGTGTTGTTTACACTGCTTCTTTGTGTGTCAGGGAATGGAGTTCATCCACAAGAGTAACCTGAAATTTCATGGCAACCTCAAGCCCAGCACGTGTTTGGTGGACAGTCGTCTCCAGATAAAACTCTCTGGCTTTGGACTGTGGGAGTTTAAAAACGTAAACAAGAACAAGATCATCTCTTTGGAAAACCCCAACTATGACGGTCAGTGAGTGTGAAATTACAATACTTTATTTCTGTCCTAAGAAAGAAACTCTCAATGGGAGTCAGTCTGAAACCTCAAAGTTCGTTTCAGTTATATGTGGAGGGATTTAACCATGGGCATTGGCCAAAGTGCCTCCAAACACATGGGTATAGACCTACATCAAACCAGTGGACTGATTCATGTAACATAATACATAATCATTTGGCATGAATGAGCCAACACTTAGCATACCCATGTCATGTAAACTTATGTCCACTTAGGTGCAGCAGTCATCTTTGTCATTGCCAAAAGGCCTCAGTGGTGCTTCTCCATTCTAATGGTCTGTCCTATTTCATTTGAGATTTTTAGGTAGTCTGACTTGTTCGTTGTGTTTGTGTTGTAGAAATGTACTGGACAGCCCCTGAACTTCTCAGACAAGTTGGTCTCCCTGTCAATGGAACACCCAAAGGTGACGTCTACAGCTTTGCTATCATCATGTGGGAGCTCATGTACAACAAGGCCTTCCCGTATCAAGACATCAACTTGGAGCCAAAAGGTTGGAATCGTTTACTTCTGAGTCACTTCCAGGTCTGAAATTTGTTGGACACACTTGAACAGACCGAAGGTTGGCATGGAAACGGATCATCAGATCTTAACAGAGGGATTTAGTTCTCTTCAAAGTCAACAGCATGACCATAACAGACCATCAAGTTGGCGACATCCTGACGAAGTCTTAAAACATCCTGACCTGAAGACTTGAAAGAAACTTCTTATTATTGTAGCTTTTGTAGGGTGGGATGTTAACATTTAATAACTGGCTGAGGCATCTAAGATGAATCTGGTCTTTGTTTGTATAGACAATCATTCTGAACAATTGAAAATCGACAGGCCAAAAGTACCAGCACTCAAGCTACTCATCCCAAAATTCCAACACAATAATGATAGTCTATTCTTGTTTCATGCTTTCTAAAGAAATTATCATGCAATTGCGGACACCCTTCCAAGGGGAGCCCCTCCGACCACCACTGTCCGATGAGCTGTGTGATGAGAACATCAAGACGCTGCTGAGGTCCTGCTGGAGTGAAACCCCTGACCACCGGCCACCATTTGGGTCTATAAGGAGACAGCTGAGAGACATCAGTCCCGATAGGTAAGCCCTTTCACATTTTTGTGACCCACCTCAATGATGGGAAACCGTTAACTGTTTTCATCATCACTTGTTTGGGCCTAGATAAAAAGCATACTTAACAGTTGCATAGCTTGATGATACCTCAAGAAATCGCACATGGAAATAGGGTAATGTGAAGCCATAATCAAAACTGTGTACCTCTTGCAAGGCTAGAATACCGTAAAGCTTTTCTTCATATAGGACCCTTTTTTACTCATATTTGTATAGAAACGTATAAAATGCCCTCACAGTGATTCAAGATGATTTCATGTTCCATGGCCTATGCATTAACTTTCCCCCTAATATGAGATATCCCTCAAGACAACAACCAACCCCGCCTGAAAAAAACCACATCCTCAACAGTAGGCTATCATAATTTTCTGTACTGTAGTCATGCAAATATACTGGATAATATGGTGGATAAGTTGGAGAAATATGCAAATCACTTGGAGGAGGTGGTCGAGGAAAGGACCAATCAGCTCACAGCAGAGAAGGCCCGTGCAGACAAGCTTCTGTCCAGCATGTTACCAAGGTACCAGATGTTACTGCAACAAAATGGTTATTGCATGAACTCAATTAGCAGTCTATGGTAACCCATTCAAAGTAGACCATGACGCCACCGGATGAATGGGCTTCCATGACCACACCCCTCCCTTATATTCAGGTGTGCTGCTTTTATTGTCGTAGGTACATTGCAGATCAGCTGATGTCAGGGAAATCAGTGGAGCCGCAAAGCTACGACATGGTGACCATCTTTTTCTCTGACATTGTGGGCTTCACCTCCATGTGCTCTGTCAGCTCTGCAATGGAGGTGGTTAACTTCCTCAATGACCTCTACAGTCTATTTGACGATATCATCAAGATCTACGATGTCTACAAAGTGAGTCACGCACAACACTGGAAAATCCACTTGATTGTCAAATTTCCAGGAGTTAGGTGAAAAGATTGATACGACCCTTAGGTTTCTAACGCAAATGTTAAGCCATGGCAGGCAGTGGACAACCATAGTTTGGCACAAAAACCTTAAAATGGGGTTACAGCTAGCTATTCTCTGTTCAAAGGCAACGAAATTGGGATCAAACTCCAACATGATACATGATACGGCATGACACGATATGACACCATACGGTACAACACGATACAATACAAGAGGACATGATAGGATAGGATAGGTTTGTCAAAGCTTTGTCATTTTTGTACTTCTCTAAAAGGTGGAAACGATTGGCGATGCATACATGGTAGCTAGTGGTTTACCCATCAGCAACGGCTATCAACACGCTTTGGAGATATCCACGATGGCTCTACATTTCCTGAGTGCCATCAAGGTCTTCAGGATCCGCCACATGCCCTCAGAGAGTCTCGCCATTCGTATTGGGATCCACTCAGGTATGACACGGTACTTGGTTCGTGACAGTACTGTTTTGTTGTACTGCTTTTTGTTTGGGGGGTACTTGGAATTATTTCAGACCATCTTCAAACTTCTTCTGGAATATTTGTTTACAAGTTGTACAAAATTTGGAATAACATTGTAAAATAAAAGTATGTTTAAGTAAATGCCGAACTGGAAGCTTTTTTAAATAGTCACACTTAGAATTAGTGGCATTTTGAATATTTAACAGAATGGAGAGATTGAATTAATGAACACTTTCTTCTACCTTGTAGGTCCAGTGGTTGCTGGAGTGGTGGGCACCACTATGCCTCGCTACTGTCTCTTCGGTGACACAGTGAATACAGCCTCTCGAATGGAAAGTAACAGCCTACGTGAGTGCACTGGAACTAAATATTTTCAGAGATTTATCTATAAATTCTATGAATCAATACCTTACAGTTTAACCTGTACTTGACAGTATAAGCAGAGAAAAAAAAGCTTACATTTTCATCCATTTGATATATGATCATAAGGCCGACCTGCAAAAAACAGACACCGACCTCAGCCATAGCTTTCCATTTTGCAACCCAAAGTCTCGAAGAGATGAGAAGAAATAAGGTTTTATGATGGCTTTCAAAACATTTATAGTTCACTATATTCAATTGAAAATAGTACAAAGACAGAATAGGAACTATGTGAAAAACAGACATGACTCTGTTGTGGAAATCAGTGCAGGATGTCACACAACGCACAGATGTTGTAAATACAGATTCCCAAAGTTGGTAGCTTGACTCTTACAATGTTGGCTGATTTTAACTTGAAGTACTGTATATTAGTTGATATTTTAGTGAGTTACTGCTATGAAATACCTAGTACTTTCCTCTGTGTGTTTTCCACAGCTCTTAAGATTCACATATCCCAGAGCACGGCTGACATTCTGGTGCAGGAAGGATCATTTGAGCTGGAGGAAAGAGGGGAAATTGAAATGAAGGTGACCTGACTCTGCAAGCAGTTTAAAAATCATATGTTTTCAGCCTGTTTTTTGACCTTTTTTGTTTATGTCCCTCACAGGGTAAAGGCAGTCATAAGACCTACTGGCTGTGTAAAAAACATGGATTTAATCCTCCTCTCGCCACTCACAGATCTCCACCTAATGACAGTCTTAAACCGCAGACAGAGGTGCAGTGAACACATCTAATGTTGAAAAGAAACAGCCAGCAAAGACAGATTAATTCACTTTAATAAATTTGCATGTAAGATAGTCAGGGTAAAACTGTTTTTCTGACATGTGTTTGTGATGTCTGTGCTTAAGAAACTCGGAGTGGCCAGACCTGCCGACAAAAAGGCCCAGAAAACCATGACCAAAGCACACATGACAGATGGCATGATGACTACTGTGCACATTTGAAGAACAAGAGCAAGAGGATATTCAGGCCACATTTTGAATAATTTACAGAAGCATCTGGGAATGACTTCAGCAGAGGTCTCACAGTAGGTCTCCATCTCATAGATGGATTTTTTTCAATTCAACATTTGATTCATGAATGAAAAATTGATTGTTAATCCAAAGTGTTCTCAGTGGCTTTACCTTCACATACTTTTTTATGCCTTTTTCAAACACAGAGTTGAGCAGGGTTCGATGTTTTTTCAACTTTAATGTCTTATTGATACCATTTATCGCTTATTTGTGAAAATTGCTGATTATGAAAAAAAGTGTAGCCAATTAAAGCTCCTGTCAGGAGTTTTTAGTTTGTAATATGACAACTTAATATCCAAAAAGACGCTTTGTTGTTACCTACAAAAACAAACAAGACCATCAGTGACAGACCTGACTGCTTATGTATAGTAATTTTTTTTTATCCTTGTAACTGCTGTTGAGGAGAGGTTGTAAGATGAGAGGATGAACAACATGCTGCACTGTGTTACTTTAACTTTTTTATACATTATTTATTTGATGAGTAATTTGCTGTTAAAACACTGCAGGCTGAGGTCATGTCATCAAGTATTACCGATGTATGCACAGGAAAAGTTCAGCAAAGATATTGGCGGTATAACCTCGTCCACCAGGGGCGCTAAAATCCCACATTCCAAGAGTTCCTCACTGGAGCTTTAATTAAAAACTTGAATAGAACTGTTGACAGGTTTATCAGACATATGGAGTTCAATCTAATCATTTATAAACTGTTGGAAAGTTTCTGCTGCAATCATAGAAGTCTTATATTAACGCTCCTGTGAAGAACATTCAGTTAGTGTCAGTTGTGGCGCCCCTTGTGGACAAAGAACTTCTTGCTCATCTTGCCCTCCACATACTTAAGTAGCATCATCTTTATAAACATATCCTGTTGGCTTTTGACAGTCAAATGTATCATGAGGAAAATGCAGGAGCAGGGCTGACCAGCTGACACCTACCCCTTCACACCAACTTCAGGCAATAAAAATATTATTAATATTGAGTGATAGTTAATTTTAAAGATTTTAGTTTTAGGAAATGGCAGATCAGCTCAGGTCATCAAGGAAATAAAGTTGCATATTTTTGTAGAAGAAAAACAAGTTAAATCTGACTGTAAAAAGTAGAACAAAAGAAATATAAAGTAGTAAAGTATAGAAATTGGTATATAACATAAGTAATTTGAAAATTTTTATCTCCTTATACGGTTATTTGGCACCACTTCAGGCCAGAGATAACAGATAAGTACTTGGTGTATAAATCACTCAGTTATCCCCAGATATGGGAGTTATTGTGATTTATATTTGCAGATTTTTGTGCCTTTTTCACAAGTTCAGGAAACATTTCAAAGCTTTTGTTTTAAAGGAAAATAACAATCTTCATAGAAATTAATTCAAAGGTCATTTTCCTTTCCATATACCAAAAAAATAAAAAAGTACTTAAATAAATAGAGGTGGACTGAAGTGTTCTTATAATTCTGTGAAAATCAAATCATTATTCAACAGTGCTGTATGCAAACAATATGGTGTATATTATAACAAATATATTAAAGCTACTGTTTTATATCTACTTATATTGTTACATGACTACCTGTTTGTGTGTTGACATAATGAATGTATGCTTTCAATCTATATACTAATTAAAATGATTTATTTACATACTTAAGGTTGTAGGGACTTCTTTTTGGAATTTGTAAAGGACTGTGCTTATGAAAAAAAAGAGGGGGGGACACTTTATTTGGAAACAAATTTAATTGAAAAAAATCTGGGAATTAAGTTTGTGACAAAAAACAAGAATAATCCAAACCACTAATAGATGTGTAAATTACAAGTCATTTGAAGGAATAAAGGAAAATCATTTTCTTTGTGCATAGGAGAGGAATGTTTTGAACACTTCCTGAGTCCTGGATGATGTTGCCGCTGATTATCTATCTGTACACTTTCACTAAATTATTGATCGAATCACTAAATCGTAGCAGGTGTTTATCAGGACTGCCAGCAGAATAAAGAGTGACGTGTCTGTGAAAGAAAAGAGAAACAATTTACTGAATGAATATCTAATTTAGGACGTAAACAACTGTCTGATCATCAGCAAGATCTATTCACCTTTTGTCTGTCCATCGTTGGAGGATGTATAACCTGTAAAAATACGGTGGATTATTAGGATTCAAAACACAGTCAAGAGAATTAAACTCATCAACAAATATTGATAAAGATATATATATTTATACACAAAAAAGGAACAAGTAAATCTGAAATAAGCATTTTTCGAAATGACCGAGGGTTTTCTTTTTTACTTTTTACATCAAGTATTTAATGAAGGTGTACTGTGCCTTTAAGGTGAAACTCTGCAGTCAGGATCCCCCCACTTGGTTCTGCTTCTGTTGACAGACTTCTTACTGAGCACGGGCTCTAGGAGAAGAAACAAATTTTCATGTACTTTGGGTAAAACAGCTGTGGAGGTGTAAAGCAAAACAACAGCAGAAGGTATGACAAGAAAACCTGAAAACTGTCCCAGAAAAGTTTCTATTGCTGGAAAACGTGAAAATGTATGAATGTTGGAAAAAGGTAAAGTGGTTAAAAGTGAGGATTGATACTGGAGCCTGTAGAGAGAAACAGACCAGCAGACAAATGTAGTGTTAACGCCTCTGAACAGGTTTGTCTTTGTAATATATGTGTTTCAAGCTATGTCTTTTAAACTGCATCACTTTTTTTTCATGATAAATCATTGAGTATTTTTTGTGTATTTCCTCCATTTGCCAGAAGAGGGAGGCAAATAACCGGTGCAAAGGCTTCAAGTATTAGTCTAAAGCTCCTATAAGGAACATTCGGTCTGTGTTGATTTGGCGCCCCATGTGGACAAAAGCTGTATTTTTTGTGTTTTTATTTTCCTGCCAAAAAATTCTCATCCTGTTGTTTATAATATGTAAAAGGAGATGTAAAACTGGTACAATAACAGCAGTCCAGTTTATTTTCTAATCAAGCTATAACTGTAGCTTGACTTGCCTGTGCATGTAAACCTACTGAGTGTTTCTACTCACAGGCAGACAGTTGAGTCTCTCTCCATCACAAACCGTGACCTCACAGTGAAGCCAGACAGTGGACACCTTCTCCAGCCGTTGGAAGCGGAATGAGTTGAACTTGAACATGGAGCGGCTGTCTTTGGCGTTTTCAAAAATAGTCACAGTAGTGTCAGAGGGGCAGCTGTTGAAAGACAAAACCTCTTTTACTTTACATACGAAAAAAGAAAGGCACCCAGACTGGCAAGCGGGGGGTCAGTAAAGCCCCAAAGATCTCTCTACCTTTGTAAAAATGACTTGTGGCTTGGTTGGTCATGTGCGCACCACTTATGAAGATGCTATAGTCTTTGCAAACCAGGATCTGACTGAAGACCTGAACCTTTCCCTGCACAACACTCCAACTCAAATCAAGACAAGACTTTGAAAAATGATAGTACCTGTTAAGGATGAGACTCCACCTCTTCTTGTCTGTTGAGTAAGGAGTGGGAGTGGCCCAGCAGTTGTTTATTACAACTTTGAACCTTAGATGGATGGCAAGACACCATTAAAACTTTGGAAAACATAGAGAGGCAATCAAGTTATAGAAATATATACTCTGAGGATTATCATGAAAATCTTGATGAAATATGTTACGTTTGTACCTGTTACTTAGTCCTTTTGCCTCTATACCCATGAAGACCTCAGAGCCAATCTCAGACGTGTCAATCACATACGGCGCATCCCTCACATACAAAAACTTTGAATTCTGTAAAATAAAATGTAAAAATGTTTTTCAATCATCTGACCACCCAAAAAAAGTCTTTTAATCACACAAAATGACTGACAGATGTACATTCAACAACTTCTACCTATACTTTGATTTTTCTAATCTGCACTGAGTTTATGAAATAATTCAAGAGTAGCATAACTGAATTGCAATATACTCCCCTTGGTGAAACGGAGTTGCGAGGGTCTACTCACCGTGAACACACCCATAGACAACTGTGACCTAAAAGTGCCTAAACTCCCGTTGTTGACATAAACTGTAGCCACTCTGGAAAAAGCAGAGGGTTTAGTAAAAAGGCTGCAAGTATTTGGGTCAGAATGCACAGATCGCCCACTCAGTGACTGCGGTCGCATCGCGTCTCCGGATCGATGCTTACCTTTGGCTGAAGACGGCGTTATTCACCAGGTAGGCTGCTCGGTAAACGCAGCTGAAGGTGTAGTTCACGGGCTGGTTTCTGACTGTGAGCGAGGTGTCGTTTGACACGATGGAGTTGTAGAAAATGTACTTGGGGTCCTTACCGGGCATGTACTGTGGAAAATAATGGAGGTCGGCATTTTTAAAAAGAAAACTAAAAGACTTCTGCTTTCTATATTTTTCTTCGACCACATTGACATGAATACAAATTTTTTTTTCAAACACCTTTTTTTCTTTAGGTTATATTTTCAGGGGTTTCTCTCCTGCCCCATCCCCCTCTTGATGCAACAGGTTGATAGTGACATGCTGTCGTTAAGTGCATGTCAAAATAAGTCGTTTTTAAATACTTTTTTTGTTCAGAACAAATAAAGAAAATAAGAATTGAAAACTACCTCCGGCTTATGGGATGTCTCACCTCAGACTGGGTGCCGCAGTACGAGTGGTTTCTGGGAGTCAGGTCTGAGATGACAAAGCGGTAGTAACCTGGACTGTGTACCCCCGAGTAACAGACCCCACCCAGAGAGAGCTGGTCGATCTCCCAGCCGTACGGGCACTCAGGGACGTTTGCAATTATGGTGTTGGGAAAACACGACACCATAACGTAGTCTAAAGAAGAAAAGACAAACTTAAACCTGTTTCCACTTTTACATTTTCTTGAATCTTGTACTACATGTATACAATCACTCAGATTTTCTGTGAATAATCTCTAAACTTTTTTTGATTTGTGCAACTTTTCTTGCTTAATTTGTTAGTTGAGACCTTTCTCCATGTCTAAGCATAAAGTCTAATCTAATTTGTTACCTTGGCAACTGTAAATAAAATCTCCAGTATGACTTAAATACAAAATACCATAAGCATAAAATAATTCTTTAAAACTATGACAATAGCATCAGCCTTTACCAAATAGTGTCAAAACTATCTCACCTGCTTTTTGAGGTGAGCATGTCCATGCAACAGGCAGAAACATTAATAATGCACCAATAGAGGCCATCCTGCAACACTGTAGAGACATATCTAAGAATTCAACCTCAGCAGTGAGAGTATAGGAAAGGACACAAGAAAGGAGGTATGAATGTTAAATACTCACCTGCTGGTAACAAACTATTTTCAGTGCTTTGATTTCAAATGATTGTCATGGCTCTTCAACACGTTATCAGCACCGTAACTCTACGAGGATCATCTTGATGCCTTGAGGAGGTGTTTTATACTGTCACAGGTGTAAGTGACTGACTTCAACCCTGTCTCCCTGTGTCACCCCACTCCCCCCCTCTGGCAGGTTTGGTTTAAGAGCTCCATTGTGGAGCTGCTTACAAAAACTCTCTGTGCTATTGGGACATTGACTTTTAAATGACCAGTGTCTCACAGGATTAACACTCAATGTGCATGAGTCACGTTCTCTTCAGATGGACACCCAGGAAGTATATCTAATTTATACAGTGAACTTCAAAAATATACGACTGAATGTGTTTGATGTAAAAGTATCTTAAACAGCTTGGCAAAGGAAGGAAGGAAGAAGCTGTTATCACATTTTCAAGTATTATAATGTGCTTGATTAAATCATGACAAATACATTTAAGCTGCATCAAGCCTCCTTTCACTCTGTACAAACCTTTGAAACACAAAACCTACAATTTGAACAATTCCAACATGGGTATGTTCCCAGACTTCTTGTCTTTATTTAAGCAGATCACAAATTTTGGCGAGACCCCTTTTTAGTATCTTACTGTCAGCACTGATCAAACCCTCATACGACTGTTAACATAGCTTAGCACACAAGAAACACGGTTAGCTAGGCCCTGTCGAAAGCCATGTATGACCCCCCTGAAATCAAAAATTGAGCAACTGCAGTTCCTCAAATGTCCATTGGGGGAGCTCTCCTAAGTGAGCTAATTGTATTCACACAACAACTCGGTACTACTTAGTAGCAGCGCATGCCCCCCGTAATAACCCCCCATAAAAACTGTTGTTCAGGACTTGGCGCGACATGCTTACTTGCGCTTCCTACTGACTGTTTTTCTAGTCTTCACGCAACGTTTTTTTCTCGTTCATGAAATGCTTAAATCTGGGACATTTCCGGGGACAGCCTTAGCCGGGGACAGGTCATCCAAAACGGGTACTGTCCCCGGAAATCGGCCAAAGTGGAAGGCCTTATTCTAGTGCTTCTGCCGCCAGCCTCAAGAGGGCACTCTGGGAACTAAAGTTTTAAGCACTTTTGCATCAGTCAATTTCTTAAGAGGATTGCTACTTGAAAAATGACTTTCCTCCAGAGGTAGAAAGATAAACATTTCCAAAACAACAGAGTATCCCTAAAAACACCACATCCACACCTTTTGAAAAAATCTCTTTTGGATTTATGTTAAAGTTTATCAGCATATTTTAGTTTCCTGAGAGACACATTTTGAGGACAGAGCCTGAACCTGACAGCCCTGCTCCTTCTCTTTGTGCAGTTAACAAATTACTTTGGATAGAACCCCATTTAAAGCGCTAAATAGTGCAAACAGAAACATATAGATAACCTTAATTGTGATCTTGGTCAAGATAAGAGCAGCATACACTGGAGACTACTGTTCTTAAGTGGAGATGAGAGGCCCACGTTGAGCCTCATTCAGTAATATAAGGTTTCTCACAGACTTTTGTGCCTTTAGTCTTTTTGGACATGAATAAAGTGTTTTCATTTCACCATTTCTTCTTACAAGTGTACATTGTTTTAATTTCTTTATTAGTCAGCAGTTGGCATGTTTTTGTCATTTAAAGCATGAATAAAAAGGCAGGAAAACTGAAGTGGTTCAACGTAAAAGCGAAGTATGATGTCTAAATAAGCAAAGCTCGATAAGCTTCCAGAGCATAATTAAAGTTTGAGATCTCTGCTGTTTTAAAACATGCACTCAGAAACCTCTGCAAGACTGAACGATGAGAGCTGTAAAACGATAGCAGAGAGGGTTAGACACTAATGTCCTCCACAGAACAATTCAGGTCACCCATCAATTGAAGGGGCAAGCTGCAGACAATTAGCATCTGTATGGAGCTGCGGGGGGAATTTGTAAGGAGAAGTCCAAGGAAGATACCGATCTATGAAGTAGTCAGGGGACAGCTAGCGTTTCAGCATGCTAACAATGAGGTGCCGCGAGATTCCAACATGTTAGGTAACGGGGCAGGCTGCAATCCAAGAAACATGCTCAGAGGAGGGCAGAGTCTGTAAGGACGGGTCAGTAAGTTCAAAGATGCTCTGGATAGTGATACCCCAGCTGAGTTTTTCCCTTGCTGTCTCTAAACCTTGAAGGTATCTCATAGTAAGTAACTCATAAATGACAAACACTAGACCATAGTCACCGTTAGGAAAACTTTAAAATGGTACACCCAGTAGATCGTAGGTTACAAAACTGATTGAAAACACCTGAAATAACAGTCAGAAAGTCTAAATGTTCAGTTGATTAGTAACCTGATGTGATACCAGAATTCACAATAGCTCTTTAACATCACATTTGAATGTGTCTAATCAGCTTTAGTGGCCTGCTGCAGCGATCTTGCTAGCAGTCTGACACTTCATCAAACTTTGGTTGGACTCATGACAAAAAGTGTTAGTTTTGGTTGGTACAGTATGGCAAATGTTTCCATCTTAGACTGGTCTTAAAAGCTCGGAAACAACATCAGTCAGTAGGCATATATGTGAGAGCAGCCCTGGGAGCCTTTGGACCCCAACCATCCATGATAGGGAAAAATGAAGCAACATCCTGTCCTGCAATCCAGGCAACAGCAGCAAAACTGGAGAGAGCGCCTCTAAGCTTGCAGTTGCTACAAGGCCAGCTCATCTCATAAGGAGCCTAAATTGCATAATCACCTGTTCACTATACATTATCCCGCATAGTCATCATACAGCATTTTAAGGCTACACACAGGTGATATGATAATCGTGATGTGCGTATCCACTCTAAATCAAGAAGAAGTTGAATAATTATCGCAAACTTTTTCCAAATTTACCACTAGAGGGCAGCATATTCTTTCCCTCAACACTTTTTGTTGTAAATGATCAGAAATAAAATTGACAGTCGTTTTGTACATATCTCCCTTTATTTTGTTAATTGAAGGAAAATACACATATTTGTCAATACAGATGACTAAATGCAGGGTATCACAGTATAAGACAAAGAGGCATAGTCGTGCTCAGCCGCACACTATAGTGCTTTCAACAAAATTCACAAAAAGTAGAAAACATTATTGATATAAAACTCTAGAATGAACATGTAGTAATAGAACATTTAGAATAAAGTACATATATTTATCTACAATAATATACAACACATTTACACAATAAATAGCTTAAATGTTGAGGTCGGCATCAAGCTTTGGGAATTTGGCAGGTCCAGTTTGGTAGTTCTGGATGGTAGATGAAATCCCTCCTAAAAGACAAACAAACAAAAGTTAGAACAATTAAAAACTGACAAATGCATTAAAAAATCTTAATAAACAACCTTAAAAAGAGGCAGCCACTTTTGTTTTAAAGTCTTGGCTGATCCTGGAGCTATTTCACCATCATTCAGTTTATTTTTCCTAGCTTCTTTTAGTTCTTCTTTTGCACTACATTTTATCAATAGTAAATACGATACATTGAAATACCACTTAGATTCTGCATAATTATAAGAGAATGAACTTCTGACTCTCTAGGACTCTAATGCATGTTAGTTGGTTGCTTTTACTCACTCTCTTCGATGTGGTGCACTGTTTCCTCGACACAGTAGTCCCTCATCACAGGGACAGATCTGGTTTATGCTGAATGCCAGGCCACCATCAGGAACGTAGCAGCTCTCGCCACGAAGCAGACGTGTCTTACACACTTGTTCGCCGTGGTGTCGGGCGCAGCACATGGATGCACCGCAATCTCTGTCAACTTTACATCTTGCACCTGTGAAAGAGAAACCAGTCATTTAACCTCAAAATGCTTCAAGATTGCATGATTGAAAGGTGCCATATCGGGTTGACTTGAGTTGTTTAGAGTCTTACCTTCTTGTCCGTTTGGGATACTGCGGTGACACTTCCCAAACATGCAGCTGAGCCCGCGGACACACTGAGCGTCTCTCCTACAGTAGTGACCTTCCCCTCTCAGAGGAACGCACAGACCAAAGTGTCGGTCACAAGAGAAGCCCCGCCCACAGGCTCTGTCATGATCACATACAGCCTGCAAAAAACAGGATAACTGTTAAAACTTTACAGATATTAACACTAAAACTTGGTTAAATTCAAATTCATGCACAAAACAGATATTGACGCATTAATGGTACATGTTTTATATGGGTAAGTAATAATATTCTTTCATGGTAGAGCTATTGAACATGAATTTAATCCAGCAGTGTCTTACCGTTATTGGTTTGGCTGTTAGGGTGTTTTCTCGAAGTGCCTTTGTTCCTTCTTTGGGTGGACTGTGAGGCATGTTGAGCATCCAGGCCCAGATACGAGCTTCAACCATTGAGAAGCACAGAAACAAACACAGCGTCCACAGATTCCCAAACATGTCCACCAAACCGCAAGATAGCGAACGATGAGTAAAAATAAGAGCAAGAAGACGTGAAAGGTTGTCACTCAAAGATGAGACAAAGTGACTTAAACCAAAAAGAGTCCAAACAGGATAAAGATCCTAAGTTTTAGTCCCAGAAAAGTTTGTAGAGGCTCAGGACAGTGTGATCCATGCAGTGGCTGCTTCTCCTCCCAGCATGACTTTTATAGGTAACAGGGGTCCTGCTCCCCCTCTACCTGCTGTTTGTCCAAGCAACGGGGTAGGAGGAGACAATTAGTTGTTAATGGATTAACTAAATTGCCTGGGTCACCCCCCGCAGACAGAAAATAGTGCCAAAATGACCAGTCGTGGAGCAGGGAGAAAGAAGGGAAAGAGGGGGTGATGGGGTGGGGAGGTGATGGATGGACGTGATGGCCTGACAACAGCTTCTGACAATAGAGCTGAGACAAGCACCACCTCTGCTTGGTTATCTCTGCCAGACTAACAAATGAGGAGGACAAAGGCAGACAAATGCATGACATGTTTCTGTGCTCGCTGAGTGACACTCCTGGCCCCCAAACACTGGGCAAACACCGACCCCAACTGCCCCACTGGCCCCTACACTATCCCACTTCAGCCCCTCCCGCTGAGAGCAATTTGCACAAGTGCACCAAGCAGACGACCCCATGATCTCATTAAATGTAATTACCATCAGCCATTAGTTCTCAGGGGGAGACGGGTGAGTAAGTAAGTGAGGGGGAGACAAAATTAAAAAATGTTCATTTTAGCACATTTTTGTCAACATTTTCTGGTTTCTTTTTACCTTCCAAGAAGTACTACAATAAACAATGTTCCTGATCTTACAAGATACGGTTAGGTTATAGTTTGATCTAAACCATGTTGCAACACATTTGTTAGTTCAGTCCAAAAGTAAGGAAACCCTGCTCAAAAAGTGCTGAATAAAACAGAACTTCTGGTAAATTACCACATTTTACACGATATCTAACTTCCTTTAACCGTTTATTTGGGGCATGATTCATCACTCCTGATGAATATAGCATGTGACCCAAACACCATCCAGATCTCAAAGCATCTACACTGATGGTCATAAACGCAGCAGAGAGTTTAGGATCAGCTGAAAGACTGGAGTTGACCCAATCTGCCTGAAGTGGAGCACACATTGTAAGAAAATTTGGCTGCTTTTGGACACAATTTGCAAAAGGAGGTCAAGTTCTCTTGGTGTGAGGCATGTTAAGAGTGATTTTCTCATAGCTGGACTAACACACATGGATAAAGTGAGTAAGGACTGGTTTTCTTGTCCTTGTGTACACCTAAATGGGACTGAAACTGGCCTGACTGTTCTGCACATATGGCATTGTGGCACGGTTGTTAAAACAATAGTGATGGTCAAACTCAAGATTTGTAAGCCTATAGAGGAAAAGTATTGTCTGTAGAGAACTTAATCTTTCCAAATACTTTGCCCAACCATTATCCAATCCCCATTCACCATTTTTACTTTATTTTCACTGTTTTAAACCCAGACTAACATGCCGGTCATTTACATATTCTCAGTGGCAGACAGCACAGATTGGTCACGCAGATATCTCAGGTAGTTAAGTCCTTATCAAAACAGGCTGACACAGACTAATGACATAATTGGTGGTCAATTAGTGAGCACAATAACAGAAAGTGGATCAATTAGCGATCTGTAAATAAGTACTGTATCGTGATTAAGCTCCCATCTGATAACCATTAGACTCTGGTTTGTGTTTATTAGAAATTTAGTGAGACATGACGAGGTGGACTGTAGAAGCAAAGCACTGAAACCGCAGTAGTGACACCTTGATCTAATCTGGGTTGCAGAATTTTCTGTTTTTGTATTTTTCAACAACTTTAATTCTCTTTCCAACCAAAATAAGTGCCTGTGAGTATTTCCCTGTTGATTTTGGCAGCATGAGAATTACCAGCACAGCTCCACCTCTCTATCCCTATCACAACGCTCAAAACATGTACTCTGGTTCTACGTTTGCACCTCCTGAGAGATATCTCACCCCTTATTTACCCAGGCCAACAGCAGATAACTGTCTCCAAACACCCCTTAACATGCTCCCCGAGTGTTAATGACTCTGCTAATGACGCTCGTAATGAATGTGCTCACTGTCACAATCAACATAGCTGAGGGTCTTGCAATTAGGAGCTAACAAAAACAACGGGCAGGGTGATGTTTGGCTATTGTAATGGACCTTGACCCCCCACTGGGAGCTGTGAATGGATGGTGGAGGACATGGGGAGTCTGTCTTAGCATGACTAGAAAAACACATTCAGTGCAGGGATGGATGGGCGATTGGTAAAGAGTCCAAAAATTCACAGTGAGGTGAATTCTTAGAGTGTTAGTGTTGCTCTGCTAGAAAATAACGCCAGGGAAGGAGCACATAGAGTTGTTGGTCATATGCCAAGTAAGGCAAACTAAATTTGAGCCAACAGTGTCATGCATGTCACTTTCTAGTCTTCATCCTGACTTCCTGTTTGTTCCACTGTCCTCTCAAACAGATGCCCAAAAAGCCTGAAAATAAAGCTTAAGTTTTACAAGAGCTTCACAATGCTGTATATGAGATGGGTGTGAACGTCAAGGGCCTGTGTCCACTATCAGAAGTTTTTGCCCATTTTCAAACCAACACAAATGTTCATTTATTTCAGTGGTTTATGTACGAAATGCAAAAGAAACACTCAGCATCACATTAGCATTCAAAGAGCTCTCAGTTGCAAACAACACAAAGCTCGATAAAGAGACTGATATGAATGCCAAGGGCCTGTGTCCACTACCAGCAGTTTTTGCTATGGTTGGGCCTGTTTTCTAAAAACAAAGGTGAAAACAGCACAACTTTTAAAGCACTGCTGCCCTCATCAATATCACTTTCCCCTCACCAACAAATCAAAATCACAAGAGGTTGGGACTTCTTTTGAAAATGTAGTCAACAACAATGCCGAGGTCTGTAGGGAGGAAAAACCAGCCACACTTGAGGGTACAGATCCTGACATGATTTAAAAGTATAATGTTGTCTTCTAGTTTTGGAACCAGTAAACTCCCTTGGAGCAGCTTTTCCAATCACAGAGCCAGAAAACGTTTTGCAATGTCACAAAAAGAGAATCCAGAATTCCCCCAACGATGCACAAAACATAGACAGAAATAAGGAGTTATGTCAAGTTGGAATGTCTTTCACTCTTACTTCAGCTTTTTGGTTTTGTTGTCTTCAGCTAAAAAAGAAAAAAAAAAACCCTGCCAAGAAGTGCACATTGTTGACAACTGGTTGGTGAAGTCAGTGGAGCATTCAGCTGCTTAAAGAGCCAACTATTACCCAAGAAGAAGATATGTTTAAAGCTAGAGCCAAAAGAAAGATGGCAATTGGACTCAAATCCATTTGGTGGTCAGAAACTCTAATCCATGGATGATGATATTTCTCTGTCTTTTTGAAGTCATGCTGGCAGCTGATTGAAAGTTCATGAAAGTTCATGGTAGAGAAAATCAACTTAAAACAAACTTGGTTTAAGCTAAGATCCTTCAGAAACCCTGGGTGTTGAAGATATTTATATAAAGGTGGTGACCATAGATGTGCAAATATATGTTACCTTGGATATTGATAACATACTGTTGAAATGGTAACCGGTATAATCATTCTAGGATATTAAAAATTCAAATCAGTACCACTAACTTCAGCTAAAGTTGATGGCAAAGTTTTCAGTTTTGCAAATTTTCTGAATTCATCATTTTTGGAAAGGTTTGTATTTGGATCCAATAATTATGTGAGAAGTCAGAGAGAAATTGAAGTTATTACAGTTTATCCCGAGGGGGAATATGAATTCCTTCAGCAAATTTCATGCCAATCCGTCCATTAGTTGTACAAACATTTTACTCTGGACTAAAGCGATCCAATATGAGAGCTGTTTAGAGTTGTTGTTTCTCTGGCAGCTGTCCTGAGAAGCTTTCTCACGATGTACCACCTGACAGCGCCAGAAACAGATTAGGATGGCGCGACACACTGTGATCTCTGCTTATTGGATGAGAGTGACCATCTGTGATTTTCTTGCAGTCCTTGAAATGTTCAGACACAAACGCCCCAAATCCAACAGCGGCAAGGTGAGTATGAAGCTCAGCGGCTGTCCAAAAAAACAGTTCTCACGATGTAGTCAGGCTGATTGAAACAGCTGGCTGTTTGGACTTCCAAGTACAAGCACACAATTTACTCCCAAAATTAGTTCTTTACCAAACCCAGTTTTAAAAAATGAGGTGCTAGAACTGCCTCTGGGCCATTTCATAAAAGGTGGAGCAGACATTCTTGTTTTAAACAGACATGCCCAAGGTTTTGTTTCACTGCTTGTGAAGAGAAATGAGGTGTGAAATGGAGCTAGTAAACAAACAATGCTCTGCTAGTAAACGACAAAAAATATACTCTTGAAATGGGTCTGCTTTAAAACTGGTGTGTGATTATCTGGTTGCTCAACTTGAACAAGGCAGACTCACTCAAAAATCACTCAAAAAACCAACAGGGGTCAATTTTAAAGTAAAATTTTTGTTATTGGTTCATGAAGAGTTTCAGGTCAAATCAAACATGCTGCTGAGTCCGAAATGAGAGTTTTTGATGTTAAACTTCCCAGTACCATGGCTTGAAACAACTATAATGATGACGAATTAATCATAGAAAAATGCCAACACACTTGCGTACTTGGTGTACAGCAATACAATAATGATTTGGGTATTTGTACAGTACCTATCAGCTTTTGAATAATCCCATTCACACACCACCGGGTGTAGCCAGCAGGGCAGGTGGGATCAAGAGTCTTGCCCAAGGACACGTTGGCGTGACAGGGGCACTTGGGATCAAATCCCAACCATCCTGCTGAGAGGCGACTGAATCTACCACTAAGCTGCAGCTGCCCAGTTGGGACACAGTGCTGGCAAAGCGAAAACCAGTACTGTTGGGCAGTATCTAGCAAGTGGCTGCCATTCATGGTTTTAACTA